AGGGTCTCAGGCTGTCTCCCAGGCTGGAGTGCAGTAGTATGATCATGGCTCACTGCAACCTCAACCTCCTGAGCTCAGGTGATCCTTCCGCCTCAGCCTCCTGGGTAGCTGGGACTACAGACATATGCCACCACACCCCGCTCATTTAAAAAAAAAATTTTTTTTTGTAGAGACAAGGTCTCACTATGTTGCCCAGGCAAGTCTTGAACTCTTGGGCTCAAGAAATCCTTCTGCCTCAGGCTTTCAAAGTTCTGGGAATATAGGTGTGAGTCACTGCTCCCAGCTCAAACTTTTTTTAAAAAACTTTTTATAAACATGTTATAAATACTTATTTTTTAAATTGTGGTAAAATTTTAAGTGTACAATTCGGAATTGCTAAGAACACTCACACTGTTAGGTAACCAATCTCCAGAACTCCTTTCATCTTACAGAACTGATGAATATTTATTTTTATACTTGATCTCAGTCAATAGACTGAGAAGCAAGGAACACTTATTTTTAAGCAATAAAACTACAGAAATACTTGAGGAAACTATAGGTGAATATTTATTTAATCTTGAGACGTGAAGTGACTTTTTTTTTTTTTTTTTTTGAGTTGGAGTCTCACTCGGTCGCCCAGACTGGAGTGCAGTGGCCGCTCCCGGCCACCGCAGCCTCAACCCACTGGGCTTCGGCAATCCTTCCGCCTCAGCCTTCCAAGTAGCCGGAATTACAGACATGTGCTACCATGCCCGGCTGATTTTTTGATTTATTGTAGAGACGAGGTCTCGCCTGCCCAGGCGGGTCTCGAACCCGCGGGCTCAGACAATCCACTCACCTCAGCCTCGCAAAGGCGCGGGATTACAGGCTGAGCCACCGAGCCCGGCGTAAAGTGACTTTTTAAATATTGTACATGTCTGAAAGATTTGATGTAAAGAAATGTAAAACTTCTGTTTAAAAATACTATGAAGTAGCTGGGCTCGGTGGCTCAGCCTGTAATCCTGCGCCTTTGGGAGGCTGAGGTGAGTGGATTGCCTGAGCCCGTGGGTTCGAGACCCACCTGGGCAACTTGGTGAGACCTCATCTCTACAATAAATCAAAATGAGCTGGGCGTGGTAGCGCACTCCTGTAGTTCCAGCTACTGG